AATCGCTGTAAGAGAGTCGTGGAACGCGCGTAATTAACCAAATTATAAACAGAAATAAAGCGACTGTGCCTGCTATTAGAAATGGCACTACGATCATATCATCCATGGCAGACAAGGCGAAGCTTTTCGCCTCGATCTTTGCCTCAAACTCAATGTTAGATGACAAAGACCATCTCCTCCCCAACTTCCCACGTCTCACTGAGCACAATCTCAGTAATATAATCATTTCAGCAAGAGTATCTAGACTTATCAAAAATCTCGACCCTACCAAAAGCCACTGGCCCAGACAAAATTCCACTGGTCGTCCTTAAGAGTATCAGCTTAGAATTATCCCTGATTCTAGCAAAGTTATTTAACCGCTGCTTGAAGGAGAAATCTTTCCCAAGCATGTGGAATGTGGCATGCGTATGTCCGGTCTTCAAAAACGAGGGTGACTGATCATCCCTCTCTCATTATAGACCTATTATTTTCCTCAGTATAATTAATAAGCTTTTTGAAGCCTTAATCGACAAGAAGGTTTGTAGAAACAACCTCTTGTGCGATGAGCAGTATGGGTTTCGATCAGCCCAATCCACTTCTGACGTCCTACAATTACGCACAGAATTAGTGAGACCCTTGACCACAAACATATCGCAAGGACCATAGCATTAGATATCTCGAAGGCCTTCGACAAGGTGTGACAAAAAGGTTTGCTACGCTAGCTCTCCTGCTATGGTATCACTGGGAGGGTTTTCTCTCTTATAAAATCCTTCCTAACAGGTAGATCCCTGAAGGTAGTTATTAACGGCTAGTCTTCCGAGTCCCTGGCAATCTCACGCAGGCGTCTCCCAGGGGTCACTTCTAGGACCAAACCTCTTTTTTGATTTACATAAATGATCTGCCTAAGAATATACTCAGATCATTTGTAAACATCTATGCCGATGATACAAGATGCAGGGTCACCTCAAAAAGTCTTAACGATCAGGGTTTGGTAGCTGACCTCTGTTTGGGCCAAACACTAACTTCACAGTGGACTGTTTACATTCAATGCCTCGAAAACCAATCTGGTTACATTCCATCACCGCCGTTCGGACCCCGATGAACGATGTCCCCTTTCCAGGTTTAATAGAGTCACGATGAACTGGCGCCTCCTTTCCAGGTTTAATAGAGTTCAAAAGCGTCTCCGAGTCCTTGTTGAAGAATCATTTTCCACACTCTAACCTCTCTCTCATAGGCGGAGTGTGGCGAGACTCTCACTGATCTATTGCTACTACGATGGAAAGTGCTCGGACGAATTGCATCTCCTGGTTCCACCACGTCTGACCTTCATAGCTAGGCCATACCATACCACTACATAATAGCAGACCAGCCACATTCCCTCCGTATTCCATCGGCGATAAGTTCCACTCAAACAGCTTCTTCCCGAGAATCACTGTCATGTGGAACAGATTCCCAAGAGGGTGTCTTCCCGATTACTATAATCTTAACCTGTTCGAGTCAACTGTTATGTTCCCCTTTTATCCATATAAACTACCACTTATCGTTGCCCTCTACTTCGAGTGGATCCCGTACCTTTTACATGGTTTACATCAGAGAAAAAAAAATTAAAAAAACAGACCGACTGAGATAGATAGATAGATAGATACGAACACAGTGAGATAGATAGATAGATAAGATAGATAAGATAGATAGATAGATAGATAGATAGTGTTTATTAAGGCGGAACACGAAATCGGTCGTCTTCGCCGAAATAGGAAAGGCATGAATCCACTTATCCCTCGGTTCTATTACATCGACAAAATATCTCGTCACTGACAAGATTCTATGCAGGCATACAATTGTTGAGCTTGGACTTAGGAAAACCCATCGTCTTTATCTTCCTTAAATGTCCGGTTTGTAGCAGCCAAAAAACGTTATATTCCCTGCCAACCTTGACAGTTTCCAATCATTTCTGCACCGTCCGCTAGGAAACATTACCCCCAGGAATTGGCGGACATCGAGGCGGAAATGGGGTGTGGTCCAACATGGGAAGCAAGTTTTAGGTAGGGCCTCATTTAAATGAATTAGTACAATGAATGGTTTGTTCTTGTTGTAGTTTTGGAATATTGTTTAGAGAGGCGTCAAATTCTACGACTGCCATGGGTGAGGAAAATGCTAGGTACGCTGTCCACGGGAAACTCAGATAAACGTTTCATTCTATATAAACTGATGTATTCAAATGGTTCAGACGCTCGGTAACGCTGAATTAACATGATAGCAGAAAGATTGATTGATTGATTTTGTTTTATTACGGCTTATCAACCTTAAGGTTATTTAAAGCCAGAAAATATTTGGGGTTGAGAGAATTTTTTTAGATTGCTTTTTTTTTATTTTCATGAGGTTATAAAAATTGGTATCTTTGTCACAGATGCACTGTGGCAAGCCAATCGATATTCTCTTCCGAATTTCTTGGAAAGCGTCGAAAAGCGCTCCATTCTTTAGTTCCACCAGTTCAGACCTTTACTGGTAGGACATACCATGCAGCATCAAGAGAGTCGAATTAATCTTATTTACTCTATGTTCCTAAGCAAGGAAATAAAGCCACTAAGACGCAAGGGGAAACTGAGTGTGAGGCAATATGAAAATAACAAATCATGATTAAGTAGAGAGAACAATAAAAGAACATGAATTAAACAGACAGAAGATAATAATGATTTACTGATACAATTTTTCGTATTTAACCCATAGATGGGAGAGAAGAGGCGGGTTCATACCATACCCAATGGTATTAGCGCGTAAGTGAATATAATAAACCCGACTGACATTAGGACTAGGCTGTTCGGATAGCAGATATTCTAAGAGAAAAATAATTTGATAATATAGGTTATAAATTCCAGCAGTTTATCCATGACGTCAAAAATGATCTCATATGTTGGTATAATTAGGTTAGAAGAGGTTACACGGAGGCCCAAAACGACGATTGAGGAATCAGTTGAAGACATCTCTGACACAGGTTAACATCGACCCTAAGACCTGGAAAAACGTTGTTACAAATCGGCCTTCCTGGTGTAGGACAATCCGAGAAGTGTGGGGAGACTTTCGAGTACAACCGTCAATATGAATTAGATCTTGCGACGTGCTGCAAGAAGGGCCCGACCGCCCAGCCGCGTCCACCATCCACACTCCTCTGTGACTCCTGCTCATAACTCTTCAGGAGTAGCCTGGGCCTTCAGAGTTATCTGCGCCACAGCCCCCAGAGGGGAGGAAGGGAAGAAGGAGAGCGAATGAAGGTCTCAATGCTCAGATGCGAGTGGCTGCCGATTAGAAGGCTGTCACATTTGAATCATTAAATATATAAATGTATTCTATAAATCAAGAAAAGTTAAATTGTAATCTGAATGGCTGACTCAAGAGATTTGCTTTCGTCGAAATGCTCATCAGAGCCAGATGTTCTCGTAATTCTCGTGATATTCTCGTGAAATTCTCGCAGTTTTCACGTATCTCTTTTCAGTTGTATTATTAATATATGAGTGTATAAATAAACAATACCAGTTTTAAACCGTGAAATTTCCACGATTTTCCTATCTTAATAAAACACATGGAATTTTCTCCCACAATAATATATCTGTACAAATACCCTTACCCCACCGTTAGTTATTTGAGCTTAACAACTTTAACAATATCTTACAATAACAATCATAAATATGAATGCTGGTCGTTATATTAAGAAGTGGGTACAAATGAATAGATCTGAAATTGACAACTTTTCCCATTTCACTGAAACAGCCGTTAAACACTTCTATCTACCCTTCTTCGGTCTTAATTCCTTTCTTTCTTTTATTTTCTCACTGAAACCAAGTAGCGTCTTTCCACGCGATCAAAACGGAATAGTCCGTTATTTACGTGGTATTGACACTGCGTAACGGTCGTACGAACTAACGAATGAAAAAACAAGTACACTTCTAATAGGATTATAGATCGGAAAAGTTTTTGTTATAATAATGCATGAGAGTCTTTAGATATATTTTAAAAAAAATAATAATTACAAATCGAACAAACTCTTTATGTGTAGTAGAATCTTATATTAATCCGAGTTGATTATTGCGCCATCTTGTTTTCACCTTTTCCACTGACATGGAACGATTATATTGAATCAATTGCTTGGTCTGCTGCTAGGAAAGTTGCTAGACAATTTTTCTTGCCAGAATCCATCTTACACATTTTTAAATCTAGCATTCATTGAATATTGCTATCATATCTGGTTTGGTGCGCCTGCCATATATCTCGAGATTGTTGGCAAAATCCAAAGAAAAATCTGTTATCTGTCTGACCTGGCATCCCAACTGCAGTCACTTTCTCACCACCGTGACGTGCTTCCCTCTATCTTTTCTATAAATATGTTCGTGGGAAGAAACTGCTTGAGTGGAGCTTACATCTCACCAGGGGAATACGAAGGGAATGAGGGTGGTTCGCTACAAGGTGCGTCACCTGGCGGGTCTTAGCCGTGAAGGTTAGGACAGGTGGAACTAAGGAGTGTAGTCCGTCTGGACACTTTCCATGGAAATAGCGATGAAGCAGCGAGAGGCTTGCGGTATCTCGTCTGTGATAAAGAGGTTTTAGAGTGGAAAATAATTCATCACCCACAGGGATGTAGCAGATGCTTTTGGATTCTAAATCAACAATTTCACAGAATTTGTATTATCGCAGCCACCCTGGATTTGTAAATATCTTCAGACATTTTGTCAAAGACAATGTTACTTCTGACCACTAGTGCAAGGAAACAGCAAAAATGATTTTTGGATCAATTCATTTTTCACGGTTTATCAGCCTTTTGCAGGTTATTTAAAGACAGAAAGGATTTTTAAATTGTAAGATTTTTTTGTAAATAATGAATATTTAGTGATACAAGTCTTACTAATTAACTAATAACTCGGGGAGAAGAGGTGGATTCATGCCTTTCCCAAGGGTATTTGCGCGTAAGTGAATATAACGAACCCAACTGGAATAGAAACACGGCCCTCCGATTAACAATTTACAGCATTTACAGCACCTGGTACTCCCAAGTAGTCACCCATCGAGGTACTGATCAGGCTCGATGTTGCTTAAATTTGGTGATTGTACGGGAACCATTGTTTCAACGTAATGTGGTTGTAAGCCATACATACCATCCGTACATACAAGCTTACAGTACCTGGTATTCCCGTGCGGTCACCCATCTAGGTACTGACTGTACTTGACATTGCTTAACTTCAGTGATTGTACGAGAACCAGTGTTTCAATGTGTTGTGGTCGTAAGCTATACGACATGGACATCCAAGCTTCCAACACTTAGTATTCCCGCGTGGTCACCCACCTAGCTACTGATCAGACTTGACGTTGCTTAACTTCGGTGATTTTACAGGAACAGCTGTTTCAACGCGATCTAGCCGTAAGCCACCACATGCACATCCAATCTTACAGCACTTGGTATTCCCATGCGGTCACCAATCTAGGTACTGACCAAACTTGATGCTGCTTAACTTCAGTAATCACAAGAGAACCCGTGTTTCAGTGTGATGTGGACGTAAGCCTAGATAGCAGAAATGGCGAAGAAGCTGTTAGGTTTCGTGGCGTCACAAACAAGAAACAATCTAAATTAGAGTAATAAAAACACATCAGAATTTTATTTTTAGATTAATTAGATCGATGTAATATGTAGAGTAAGTGGAGGGGGTTGATGCAATCTTTACGACTTCTCCTCATTATTTGCAAATGCTAAGGGTACCCCGTAACCTATCTTATATCTCTTTCCTCTTCGTTTTTTTTCCTTGTACAAAGCTTGCCACCCAGAGTTGTAGTATCATTTGCGTGTATCTGAATGGGGACTGGTTTTCGGTACTTGAGTGGTAAATTCGACCACTGCTGAGTTGCACATGTGCTGAAGCTCATTCGTGTTCTTAATGAACGATGCCGCGCTTTTAGGACTAGAGGGAAGGGCTCGGACAACCCAACCCAATATTTTTCTGGATCTGTTGCCAGTTGTATTTCGTAGTGCCGCCGACTCTCCTCGCCCTGTGCGTATCAAGTTTAATCTGTCTGCGTAACCATAACAGATGTTCATATCTCATATAAGAAATTACTGCTAGTTGAAGAAATTGCCTCATGGCTCAATGAGCTGAAGCACTTTGAGAACTGCCCTATCCTTCTTACAGCCTATTCAGACAAAAGAGAATATTTGTTCCCATTTTTTTTTTACTCGTGACTCAGACTAACGATTTCCGAATGTTTTCCCGTACTGTCATCACCAAACTTACAATCCTAAAGCAAAAGAATTAGTCGCCCAATTATCGCAGAAATGTATTTATTGTTTCAGTTTTTTCATTACGACAAATAACTTTCTTTCTGTGCTGTTTTTGCACTCATTGGAAAATACCGTCGCCAGCGAGTCATCTACCTAACGAGTTTGAATCAAGAACCGAACGGGGACAAAGATGGATGGCAAAGTGCCAGGATATCGTGGAGATCCATGATCGCCTACGTTCTGAAGGAACAAGGCATATTAAAGAAAAAGTGAATGAATAGTAAAACAGGGGCAAAGATGCGTGGTAAAGAGCCAAACCCTGAGGCAGGATATTGTGGAGATCCATGATCGCTCACGTCCTGAAGATACAAGTTACATAAAAGAAAACTTGAATGTATAACATAGCAGAAAAGGGGAATACCTGAATGTTAACGAGCCAAACGTTGATTAGAGCTACAAGAGATACGATGTTGTGGAGATCCATAATCGCCCACGTCCTGAAAGGACAAGTCACATAAAAGAAAACTTGAATGTATAACATAGCTGAACAGTGATTCGCTGGTTAGATTCCAGAAAGCTGTAATGGGTAACGCTAATGGCGGGCCACCAGCCAGCCACTATAAATCCACCGTTGTTGTAATTTCGTTTTTATAAAGTGTTTGGGTTCTTCATCATGAAGCTATTGAGTCTATTCTTTATGATTGCCACAAAGAATTCGTTTCTCATCAAAAGTTATTATTCAATCAAGAAATGGATCATTTGAATTTCGCAGATGCAGCATCTCAAAACATTGAGTTCCCTAGCCAATTTTCTAGATGATCAAATACTATTAAAATGCTGATATCATTATCTGGGACATTTGTCTGACACTTAGATGTGGGTTTTGTTCGACTAGTGTTTTCAGATGTTGATTGTCAATTGCAGATGGACGTCCTCTAGCACCTTTTTTTTCCAGAAACTTATCCTTTTGTGATGTCAGCGAACACTCGTTGCCATTTTTGTAACGCCAACGAATACTCGTTGTCACTTTCGTAATGTTCGTTGCAGTAGAGACTTTGTAATCGCAGATACAACTATATAGTACCTTGTTGAAAAATACTGGTGTCAGACGTCTTCAAATAACATTCTCACTAATAGTACTTGCTCGATAATACTCGCTCGACAAGTAACCCGTATAGTGATCTGAAATAGTATAGTGAATAGAGTAGAGAATAGCAGTCCGTATAGTAATAGAGGATAGAATAGAAACGGTGATCCGTATAGGATAGAGGATGGGCTAGAAATAGCGATTGTTAGCCGTCACGATAATTTCTACTTATGCGTTTCCTTTATGGTCACGTGATCCTCTTAATTCAATAATGGGATCGCCTGTGTTTGCTCACTAGCGATCTATGTTCAAACTCAAGTGTCGGTAGCGAAACTTTATTCCTATATAACATATCCCCACTGCGGAACTCCAGGAACCAGCGACATAACCTCCGATTACAAATGAATCATTCACTCCATTCTCTATTAATGTTGAAAGCAGTTTGAGAAGCATTATGAACCAGCTTGAACGCATGCAAAAATAAATAAATAAACCCATCTTTTCTTTTTTCATGTTCAAGCTCAGGGGTATATGATGTTTTAAGTTAAATTCCGAAAGAGAATGACATAAAATTAACACAAAAGACACATTAATCATTATGACTAATATATTTTGGTGCACTTATTAAAATAATATATTAGTACACAAAAGGTTTATGTCTATATTACTAAGATGAAGTATTGTAATTATTTGCACTATTGACACTGTATTATGAAGTTGATTTATCTTGAAGACGAACATTCTAGAACAGAGAAAAAAGAACAGGAATTTAAAAAGCCAGAATTTAGTCTTACAGATTATCTTTGGCTTTGAAAATCATTGATTTTCGAAGCCAAAGGCGGTCCTAGAAAATATCTGTTCGCGTGGAAAATAAACGCCCTTCTTACCAAAGGAATACGTAGGGATTGGTTCCGATTCAACGATTCAATAGTTTAGATTAAATCATGTGACAGCAATTGAGAACCAATCAAAACGACTGCAACTTGTTAACAATTACACCATGAGGAGGCACTCAATGAACACTTTAATCATTATGAATGACTAATATATTTCTGTGCAACTGTTAAAATAATGAACAAAAGGTTTATGTCTATATTTCCGAGATGAGGTATTGTAATTATTTACACTATTTACATTTATTCGAACTTTCTCTTCGTCTTTATTGCCATATTCACGTGGAACTAGAACAATTTACTTCGGTGGCCGCAATAAAGGGTTCAGTTCGAAACTTCAATCACCTGAAGAAGGCCGGAACGTACAACGGCCGAAACGTCGTGAATATGACGACAAAGATGAGGACAATAGTCCAAACAATAAGAATAGTGTAAATAAAAGGTTTATTTTAAAATTAGACATTATTTACCGAACATAATATTTAAGAATTATTTAAAAACATTTTTCCTTAAAATTATTTGTTGCTTAAACCTTAAGTCTACAGCATTCTTAGCATCTGTTGCGTCAAATCTTTTCTTCATCTGTGAGTAGATTGTTCAGCATTCATGTTCATATAGAAGATTAGATAGTACACATGAGTCTAACATTCTTTTCTTTGTTTCTAACTGCACCTCTACATATGGGTAAGTGTACCCACAAAGGGGATAGCTTCCGGGTAGATACCTGCAGATCTAAGTATATACCCAACAAATGTTCACTTAAATTCTCAAGTATAAACCAGAACAATGTGTACCTAAAGACACAAGTATAAAATCGACTAATGTTTACCTATATATTAAGTATGAATGTGACCTAATTTACTTATATACACGTATATGAATGCAATCAATAATTACCTATATATTCAAAGTTAAACTTAATTTCATTAGAAACAAAGAAAAGAGTCCTGAACTGTTACGTGATATCAGTCCTCCTATAAGGCAGTGAATGCTGGACAATCTCCTCACAGATGAAGAAAAAACTTGAAGCAACAGAAACAATGAAAAGAGTACTGAACTGTTACGTATATATATGTCCTCCTATATGGCACTGAATGCTGGCTGGAAAATCTCCTTGCAGATGAAGAAAAGACTTGAAGCAACAGAAACAAAGAAAAGTGTATTGAACTGTTACGTAATATCAATCCTCCTATATGGCAGTAAATGTTGGACAATCTCCTCACATATGAAGAAGAGACTTGAAGCAACAGAAATGTTGCCCTACAGAAGGATACTGAGAATACCTTGGACTGAACACGTGAATACCGACGAAGTTTTAGAGAAAATTGTAGCAAAATGTACACTTATACATTTGAAAATCGACAGTTTTAATTTCTAGGGCACATAATGAGGAAAGAGTGCTTAGAAAGTTTGATACTCACAGAACAGAGTGAACGCAAGAGTGACAGGTGAAAACAATGCCTAACCTGCCTAGCGAATTGAGTAAATGGATTGCGGACAAGGTCTGGGAGAGATAATAAAAAGACATTTCATTAAGTGCCACAATGGACAGGAAATTGTGGGGAGCCATGATCGTTAATATCTTAAAGGAACACGGCACATAAAAGAATAAGAATGTTTACCTATAGACTAAAATATAAACACAACCATTGTTAAGTTATAAACTCAAGTATAAACCTAACTAATTTTTATATATAGTCTCAAGTTTAAATCCGACCAATGTTTGCTTATGGAGTCATATATTGAAACGACCAATGTTTACTTATAGACTCACGTTTAAACCCGATCAATAGACTCAAGTATAAACACGATCTATAGACTCAAATATAAATCCGACCAATGTTTAACTTTAGACTCAAGTATAAACCCAACCAATATTTGCCTATAGACCCATGTATTAAAATGACTAATGGTTACATATAGGCTCAAGTATAAACCCGACCAATGTAAAAGACTCAAGTATAAACGCAAACAATACATGAACGAAGAGAAAACCCATGTAGTTAATAAAAATGTTGCTTTCGTATTGATCATGAAATCTTTTGTACCGTGTTCTTTCACAATTTCGGCGGTCATAGACCTCCACAACTTCCTCTCGCTTATCGTTCAAAGTAATGTTTGACCTTTTGATCATTCCTCTTGAACCCTCGATTCACGCAATCTCTTTAGGTAGGTTACTGTTTCCATCTATTCCTTCTTCATTCAATACGTCTTGTGAGTTTCAAATTTTCCAAGCAATCTTTCTTCATAATATGTGCTAGAAATTTCAGCTGCCTCTTTACGATTATAAGTGATTTTTTTTAGTTC